GAGCAGGCGAGGAGGTTCGGAGTCGTAGCGGAGCGCAGGTGAGGCGGGAAGGGGCGCAGGGCCACGGCCTGGCTGCTCGTCGAGGCGCGGGGCCCGGCTGCATCCCAGGGAAGGATGAGAGGAGTGCGGGCCGCGCGTGAGGGCTTTGCGGCGCCCGGCGCTGGGGTCGTGACGGGCCCGGCTGGGGGGGGCCGGGGGAGTTCGCGCGCAGACTTGGCGGGAGGCGCGGCCCTGGTGAGTCGAGGGCGCCAGTAGCTCCGACCCCCTTGCTCGCCCGGCGCTGGTGATCCTCGCGTCCTCCCAGCCCAGTCGAGCTGGCAGGTCAAATCCTCCCTTCTCGGTGCGCTGGGGCCGGGTCGAGGCGGGTCATTTCCCTTGCGGGGGTTGAGGGGAGGCTGACGGTGCGGCAGACCCGGTGCCGCGGGTGAATTGTCTTCGGCAACTTTCCGGTGCGCGGCCGGTGGGGGAAGCGGTGGCCGCAGCTCCGCCAGCTCGGTCAGCTGGGGTCTGGCGCCGCCACCTGCCCCAGCGCCGCGGCTGTCGTGGCCTTGGAGGGAGAAAAGGCTTTCTTAAAGCCTTGGTGCCTCCTGCCTTTCGGTGCTTCGTACCTTTGGTCGGCAAACGCCTCCGGTCAGTGGGCGCGATCTGTCAGTCTCCAGCGTTGACCTCTTACGGGTTGTTTGTCAACTTTTTTTTAAAGATCCAGGAGGATGTAAACTGATGAACCTTGGCTTATAGGCGATCTCTGACTTTCCAGAGAGAGTTCCCTGACCTTACTTACCTAGTAAGCACTAAGTACTTTTTGTCTGTCGTAGCGCCGATCTCAGGGTGTACCATATATGCAGCACCTTCGGAACCGCACGGCATTTTCACTTTTAAATTGTCCTCCCCAATTACTAAATGGGTCCTCGCCGGGATAAAGCCATGAGCGTCTGTACTTGTCCTCCCAGATCTTTCACCCTTTGGCACTTTAAGCTTGGATGTACTTTCCTTTTTCTGCCTAAGCTTTTGGTTTCTGAATCTTTCCATCCTGTAGGGTAACATCTCACTGATGATGCTTTGTCAAGGTTGGACCTCTTAATTACAAATGTATCTGGCAGTTTTGCTTAGGCTGTTATTAGCTAGCCTTCTTAGGTACATGCTAACAGTTTGAATCACTCTCTTTTCTTCTCTTGGGATATTTTAAAGATGGAAGCTATTAACTTTCTAATGTAGTTTTGCTGAGCTCTGCAGTCTGGATTCCTCCAGTAATCAGAGCATTGCCTTTTGGTTTAACAAGCATTTTTGGAAGCTGATAGTTATCACCTGATGTCTTGAGGAGTCAACAATGCATCTATATGTTGTTGGATTTTTTTTTTTTTGAATAAGCAGTACCGTGTTTGGGCTGTATAATGTAACTAGCACAGTGTTTCCTGAACCTGAGTGCTTTGTGCACAGTAGGGGCTGTGTTAAAAAAAAATTATGGCTAAATTTGAATTCAGGGAATTAAGATGGAATTGACTGCAGTGACCTCAGTGCTACTTTAAAAAGAAAATTAGAGAAAATTTATGTATCATTAAATGAGAAATAAAAGTATTTCTTAGATACTTCTAAATATATTTCTTTTAGAAAGCTTTTAAGTATGATTATATTTATATTATATATATATATATTTTTTTTTTTTATTAAGAGAGATTTTTGCTGTAGGGTGCATAGAGAGAGAGAAGGGAAGAAATCACCCCACAGGAAGGATGGCCATGCTGAATCCCTTCTCTATTCACCTGTAGGGATGTTGGGGGGAGTGGCGCACACACCCTCCTGGTGTGAGTTTTAGCCTCTGGGTGGCACTCGAACCATGGTCAGTCATGTGGGAATACAGCGCCTTAACCACTGTGCCACCTCCTGGCCCTCATTGTATTCCTAAAACTTCAAGCCGTATCTTTTTCTTTTTTTCCCCCTAAGAATTGCTTTATTTAACTTTATTTACTTATTTTGAGAGACAGAGAGAGAGAGAGGCAGAAAGTGAGAAAGCAAGCTGCCAGGCCCAGGACTTCAGCTGTGTTCAGCCATGTGGGAGTCCAGTGCCCTTAACCATCATGCCATCTGCCCATCCCAAACCACATCTTTTTCATAATGATAACATAGGTGTAAACTACAAAATAGTTATATACAATTTTTTTTTGGGGGGAGAGGCTTTTTTTACTATAGGGTACATGCGCTCGCCAGACAGACAGAGAGAGACATAGAGACGGAAAGTGAGGAATCACCCCCCAGGGGGGATGGTCACGCCGCAATCCCTTCTCTTCCATTCTCCTCTCGGGATCTTGGGCACACACACACACACGTGCCTGGCGTGAGTTTTAAGCCATCGGATCCGGGACGCGAACCGCGGTCGACTATGGGGGAATCCAGCGACATAGCCATTACGCTAACTGCTGGTTCCCAAAATAGTTATATACAATTTTGAAAGGCAGAGAGAAACTTCAGTTTTGTACCTAATGGACCAGCTAAGTTAGATTTCATATTGAGAAGTTTCTTTTTAAATTTTTTTTCTTTTAGCTTTTGCTATAGGGTGCTTGGGCTAGCCAGAGAAAGAGAGAAAAATCACCCTGGGGGTCGTGGGGAGCATTGGCCATCTTACAGTCCCTCCTCCATCAGTCTCCTTTCAAGATTTTGGGTATACTTGCACATGTACCTGTTAGACTTTTAAAACCACTGGTCTGGGACCTGAACCATGCAGTCTGCTATGTGGGATACAGTACCTGAACCTCCATGCCACCTGCTAGAAACTTCATTATTAGCTTCGTATCAAGCTCACAGTGTAGTTGTTATGTTAGTCACTAACTCAGTATGCTCCTTTTATGCATTATGTGAGAGTAACTGTCAATACTCTTGTTTTATAGTCTTCATGATTAATTCATGACCCATATATGTTAACGATAAGTCATCTTGGGACCAGTAGATGGCAAAATGGTTACATTGCTGGACTCCCATGTAGTGGATCATGGTTTGAGTCCCTGTCGCGGTGGCTTAAAAACTCATGCCTGGTATAGTGTGCACGCATGCTCAAAATTTGGAGAGGAGATTGGAGGAGAAGGGACTGTGTGTGGCCATCTCCCCTGGGGGTGGTTTCTAGCTCTATGTGTCTGCTGAGCGCACTCTCCCTATAGCAAAAATCTCTCTTAAAAAACAAAACGATCAGCTTTAGGGTCTGTTAATTCAGTACATTTCTGTTAGAACTAAGTGTTCAATGTGTGTCCTTCAAAGGTTTTTTACTCCTAATATTTATAGTAACATTGGTATTTTAAATCTCTCTATTATATGACTAGTAACATTTTTGAACTTATATAGTTACTAATTATTCAAGGAGTTGTGTGTGTGTGTGTGTGTGTGTGTGCTGAGATCCCCAATTTCAGGGTTTTGTTCTGACGTGTTTGAATAGACTTTTTGAGTACATAGGTATTTTGAGTTTTTGACCTTTTTTCCTTTTTCAGCCTGCCCCTTCATCTATGATGAAAGAGGTGTGTGTGTGTGAGAGAGAGATGCCCCTTCCACAAATTTGACCAAGCTATTACCTCTCTCCTTCAGTCCTCCAGCCGTTTTCATTTGCATGCAGCGAGATGGGTCTCAGGCCTACCTGATTGGATCCTCGAACTGTGGTCACCATCTGGCCTATCCTGAGAAGTGCATCCATAGAGTTGGCCTTTTTTCCTTCTTTTTAAAATTTGAATCTGGCATGTACCAGTGACTCAAACCTTAGGTTTGGTAACTTTGGTAAATCATCTTAAACCTTTCTTATTTTTCTGTGTGTAACTAGGAATAATGTGTTTTGTGTTTAGTGTTTTTTAAATTAGTTTTGATTGTTGTTCAAAGAATAACAAAATTAAATTTGTTAAAACTTCTAGCAGCCATTTCTGAGAATGTATGTAAACTAGGATTGTATTCAGGCAGTCTAGAAATTAGTTTTCATTAGCATAATTAACATTAAAGAAACAAGATACTGAATAAAAGGGTCTGTAGAAATGACTTTTTTACTGAGTTGTCTGGTTTAAAAAAATGACTTTTATGATATCAGCATTTGTTAGGTCCTTATAGAGAAAGGTATTGTTGGGAATAGGGAAGTTGGGTGTGGACTAAAACTCTAGGAAAACAGAATTGTTTTCCTTTCAGTATTAAGAACAAAAACCTCACATGGTTAAGATTTTTAAGCAGTATCCTGTCTTAGTTTTAACTTAGTTCAACATAGAAACCTAGATTTTTTAAATTTATTTTTTAATATATATGGATTTGGGGTCAGTGGATGGTATAATAGTTACCTAGCTGGACTCCCACGTAGTCGACTGTGGTTCTAGTCCCAGATCTGGTGGCTTAAAAAACCTCACGCCTGTCGTGTGCACGCATGCGTACATACCCAAAATCCCAAGAGGGGAATGGAGGAGAAGAAGAGATTGTGGCATGGTCATTCCCCCTTGGGGTGTGTTGTGGGGTAGGAGTTCTCTCTCTCTTTTTTTTTTTTTTGAATTATTTATTTCCATTTGTTATTGTTATTTTTTTCTTTATTTGACGAGAGAGAGAGAGAAAGTAAGTGAGAAAGCAAGCCACCAGGTGCAGGACTTGATGCATGGTTGGCCATGTGGGAATCCAGCGTGCGCCTCGTGTGAGTTTAAGCCACCAGGTCCAGGACTCAAACTGTGGTTGACTGCATGGGAGTCCAGCGACATAGCCATTATGCTAACTGCTGGCCCCGGAGTTCTCATTTTCTGTCTCTGTCTCTGTCTCTATCTCTCCGGCAAGTACTTGCACCCCATAGCAAACATTTCTATTAAAATGTATATCTATATATCTATATATATACATATATATATATATATACAGGGGCTGGCGGGTGTGTGTTGGATAAAAACGCTGGACTCCCACATGGCCGACTGTGGTTCAAGTCCTGGACCTGGCGGCTTCCTTTCTCACTTTCCCTTTCTCTCTCACTCTGTCCCTCTCTGGTCAAATTAAAATAAATGAATAAATAAATAAATAAATAAAATAAAGTTAAATAAAATACTTC